TTTTTTTTTAAATTTCAGGCTTCTTAAATTTTTCAGCAATATTTTATAGTCTTCAGTACTATATAAGGATTTTGTGCTCTTTTTGAGGATTTATTTCTATGTATTTTGTATTTTTCACGAAGATATTTTTAATTATTTTCTAATGTCTTAGCTGTTCTGATTATTTCTAACGACCATACAGACTGTAAACTGTGATTCTGCAAAATTCATTAATTAGTTCAAACAGTTTTCAAATTGATTCTATAGGTGTTTTTTAGTGTACACATCACGTCATGTGCGAATACTGACCATTTTACTTCTCTTCTGAACTGTAGGCCTTTATTTTTGCCTTGGCCCTACCCTAAGCATTAATATGAACTGTCCCATTTACTCTTTACAATAAACCAATGCTGTTCCCATGTAACTCAGACTGTCATGTGGGTCCCAGATGTTCCCCAGAGGGCCGTGCACTGCAGACTTCCGGCCTGGCATGATTGGGAAGTAGGGGAAACTTGATGAAGAGGTGAGACCCAGTGCAGGTTTTCCAGTCACTGGGACCTACCCCTGAAGGAGGACCCCGGTCTCTTCCTCTCTCTTTTTATATCTGGGCCATGAAGTGAATGATTTTGCTACACCAGGTGTACCTGCCATGATGAGCTGCACCTCCCACCCTATAGGAGGACTATAAAAGTAATGGGTTTGCCTGATCATGGAGTGAAACTTCCATAACTGTGAGCAAAAGATACCTTCCCACTCTGTAAGCTGATTAGGATATTGTATTTTGTTATAGTAGTAGAAAGATGGTTCACACAGCATGCAAGAGCCTCAGAAAGGGTCAACAGGCACTAATGTGTCAGGGACCATAGGCACAGGAAGTGGGAGTTGGCATTTAATAGGTATAGTTTCAGTTTTGCAAGATGGTAAGGTTCTGGAGCTCTGTTACACAACCGTGTGAATGTAGAACACTTAAAAATAGCTAGATTGGAAAATGTTGTGTTGTTCTAAAATCGTAAGTAAAAGCAAAAAACATTTTTAGAAACATTAGCAGAAAATGTACTATAAATTCTTAAACAAAAAGGAGAACAACTATTCTGAAACTATTTTTTAAATCTATCAGATTGGCAAACCTACAAAGCTCTGATTACACTCTCTGTTGGCAGGGATATGGGAACAGTACCCTCACACATTTCCAAGGGAATACACCTTGATATGGTCCCTCTGGAAGGCAGTATCCGTGACACCTTTGATCTAGTAATTCTACAACAGGGAATTTAGTCATACAGACACACTGTACTCATGTGTGAAACAACAAGGTTATAAACTTCAACACTGTTTACAATAGGAGGACACTGGAAACACACAAATACCTATTGCTAGGTAACTGGTTAAATAACTTATAGTACAGCCATACAATGCAGTAGTATGCACCTATTTATTTATTTATTTATTTATTTTTTGTTTTGTTTTGTTTTGGTTTTTCTCCGCTACCGGGAACCGAACCCACGACCTTGCACTTGCCAGGCAGGCGCTTTTGCCGCTGAGCTAAATCCCCAGCCCCAGTATGCACCTATTTAAAAACAAGGAAGCTCTGTATGTGCTGAAAGGGAAAGATATGCACCATACATTACAAATGCAATTCAGAACTGTGTAGAATATTACATGTAAAAAGGAGAGAAATAATCTAGTTATACTTTTATATATCCTTGCATACACATTAAGAAATTCTAGAAGGATACATAGAAAAATAATAGCAGTGATTTGGGGACCCTAAATGGGAAATGGCTGGGTAGGGAACTGGCCAGGGTGGGAAGAAAATTCCTACACTTACAAATTAATTTGAATGACACCAGTGATGTTAATCTATTCATGTAACTATTTACCAAGGGTCTGCGATATGTCACCGGGGTACTGGCAACAGATCACTGAACAACAGCGAACAACAGGGCTCTTAGAACTTCTATTCTAGAGGAAAAGACCGTGTGTGTGTGTGTGTGTGTGTGTGTGTGTGTGTGTGTATTGTATATACATTTTTAAAATTTATAAAATAAGTTAATGCCAGAGAGCTTTTTTTAAAAAAGTAAATCAGGCTAAAGGGAGAAGGAGTAAAGTGGTGGAACAGGAGTAGTGGTGCTGGGGCTGGGGATTTAGCTCAGCGGCAAAGC